GTTGTTAGTTAATTGCTCACAGACTCTCCTTAGTATCAACGTTCCATACTTACTATCCCTGTAGTTTCATTGTTGCAGACGGACCCCTTTGGTTAAATTTTTGGTTTTGATATTTTTTAACCGTGTGAAACATTGACGGATGTTGTCACGAGTGAAATCAGTCTATTTGAGGGTAAAAGTGTAAAAAAAAATTTAACACACGGGTCCATCTGCAACAACGAAACCAAGGGATATATAGTACGTTCAAACATTGATACTATATATACGAGGTCTACATTTAACCCCCTGGTCATTTTTTGAGTATGGTTTCCAACATTAGAAATAAATAATCATATTTCGACTTGTTTTTTTTTTTTTTTTGTGTAGGTCGTGAATTTGCAAGCACAACTGACCTCACTCAAGGCTCAAGCAGCGATGCAAGACTTTGGCAGCAGCGCAAGCAGCCCTCAAGAAGAGAGCTTCCACAATAATTTCCCACCTTATCAACAGGATGGGCACGGCTTCGTTCAGACACAAAATTCAAACGCAATTTCAAACCCCTCCATCAATGGTCATGAAAACATGGTGTACAGCGAGAACGTCCTTTTCGGGTCAAACTTTATCGGGTCTTCTCAGAACAGCCTGAGCGACGAGCATTTCTCCTTCAGCACTGACGACAGCTCTTCTTGCAAGATGAGACCAGTTATGTATGACGACATGGAGGACCTTCAATCTGTAGCCTTCGCATATCTTCAGCATTCCTAGCGGTGAACCAACTCATCGACAATTTTGTTACGTAGCACCCTTAGTGAATGAATCCACACCATGAGTAGTGGTGGAAACCTTCATGAGGTAATGTCAAGGGGTGCTGGTGTACGAACAGTATGATCATATTATTATATGGCGAACTTTGGTGATTATAATAGATTTTAGTTAATGCTGGAAGTTTGTAAGGATAAGGGTCTTTACAGGCGTTTGGTTCTCTCAAGTGTTTTAATGGGGGGAAAAACAAAATGGCACGCACTGGACGAACGAATACTTGCAATTGAGAATACTCTGACTCAGTGTAAAAAATAATAATAAGGAAGGTACATTGGTTAACACTAATTAATTCTTAATCTGACTCGTCAATAGTGTTAATTTAGTGTATTATTATGAGGACAAACTTTTAAAAACAACCATTTTTTAAATTTATTAAGCAAAATCGACCCTGTAAAAAATTAATGAGCAAAACCGATCCTTTTCAGAAGAAAGAGTTGGTTTTGCAATTCTCAAACTGCACGGGACTGCGTGCAGTTCTCCCCAAAAAAACCCAACACCGCTGTCCAGCTCCTCCCCTTACCCCTCTCCTTCTGCTCGCGGTCCACTAAAGCTGCCATTGTGGAAATCGATAATCCCAACTACAACGAAAACAAAAAAGAAAAGAAAACGGAGAGAGTTTAGAGAGAAAAAGCCGCTCTCCTCTCTTTCCCAATTCCGAGCAGAAAGTGAAAAAGGGATACAGCCCCAAAATCATGGCATCCGTTGAAAGATCGTTATCTTTGTGACGCTAAAAATAAAGAGAATAAAGCAGATTGAAGATAACAAGAAGCCAGATTCAACCCACTCATTGCAAATGTTACTGTTCTCTCGCGTGCTCACATCTTGATTGGCCTCTCTGCGTGTTTTTGGCATGTGGGGACTATTTCTTTAAGATAAAATTGGGATTTTGATGGTGGGTTCTTGAGATCGGATGCTGCCATGTTGTCTTCTCTTTGGAAGTGGCTCTTGTTTCTCTTTGGCCTTGCTTTTATTTGAAATAAGTGTAGGATGAAGTCTTGAGAGCTGGCTGGGTGAAGATAAGATGACATATGCAGGTAAGTCATCAGCAATTCTAGATGAAATGAGGGTCTAATTGGGAGAGGTCCAAAGCGATTCAGGTTAGCGTTGTTTGGGTTTGATTTATTACTCTTTAGCTCGTTGGAGAGGAGAGGAGAGGAGAGGGGTAGGGGGAGGAGCTGGACAGCGGTGTTGGGTTTTTTTTTTGGGAGAACTGCACGGGACTAGCAGTCCCGTGCAGTTTGAGAATTGCAAAACCGACTCTTTCTTCTGAAAAGGGTCGGTTTTGCTCATTAATTTTGTACATGGTCGATTTTGCTTAATAAATTTAAAAAATGGTTGTTTTCAAAAATTTGTCCTTATTATGATCTCTATGATCTCTTTCGTGGGTTTAGTTATTCTTTCAATTGTTTAATTAATCTATGAACGAAAGTTGTACCTGTTAGTCTAAAGTGTAGACCCAAAGTTGAGACGAGAGCTGGAATCAAAACGACGAAGAAAAAGATCTGATAGATCCACGGTCGACCGCGAACGTGCACAGGAGCTCATGAGGAGCTGGATCTGATCACAATCGACCGCTCAACTCACTGTAATTTGTGGAGTTTCTGTCGTTTGATACGGTCGACCGCCGTGGTCGACCGCGAGACCTGCGCGGGCGGCCGGCGGTCGACCGTCACGGTCGACCGCGACGCTGTCAAACAGTTTCCTAAACTGTTTTGAATTCTGTTTCTACCAGGACTCTATATATACCTTAAACGTTTTTAGGGTTTGTACAACACGAAAAAAAAAGCTTTTTGACTGCAGGAAGAGAGAGAATCTCAGAGAGAAAAAACCCTAGTTTGAGAGCTTGTATTTCTTCTTCAATTAATAAAGAAATTGTGTGGTGTGGCTCCAGAGGACGTAGCACGTTGCCGAACCTCGTTAAATCTGTGTGTTCGTCTCTTTTACTATTTTTACAAGGTTAGATCTTTATTTGTGGTATTATTCCTACTTTCAACATAAGATCCGGAAGGGCAAGGGTTCGATTGATTGTTTCGAATCTCCAACAACTGGTATCAGAGCTTTGTTCAGCAATTTGTGTGAAAGCCATGGCAGAGGAAATCAAATCAAAGATCGAGAAGTTTGACGATTCAGATTTCGCCTACTGGAAATCACAGATGGAGGACTATCTGTACCAGAAGGACTTGTATCGCCCGTTGATGGGCAAGAAAAAGGGATAGAAGAAGGAGGAGTCAGATGGTGATTGGGAGATACTGGATAGTAAGGCTCTAGGACAAATCCGGTTGTCGCTCGCCAAATCAGTAGCCCACAATATTTTGAAGGAGAAGACGACGGTGGGGCTTATAGAAGCGCTCATAAAGATGTACGAGCAACCGTCGACAGCAAACAAGGTGCATCTCGTCGAAACTCTTTTCAACCTTAAGATGGCAGAAGGACGGTCCTTCACGATGCACCTCAGCGAGTTCAACACGATTGTTGATCAGCTTATCTCTGTGGACATCACGTTTGATGACGAAGTACAAGCCCTATTGATTCTATCACAGTTCTCGGATAGTTGGGCATGTTGTGTGTAGTAATTCGGCGGGGAAGGAGAAGTTGAAGCTGAGTGAGGTTATCTATCCGAGGAGGTTAGAAGGAAATCGTCTGAATCAGAAGGTTCAGGTTCAACTCTAAACTTCGAGCAGAGAGGCAGAAGCCAGAAGAAAGGAAACCAAAACAGGAATCGATCGAAATCAGTGAAGAAGAGGTCGAACTCGAAGGTTAGTCCTATCAAAGGGAAGTGTTGGAACTGCGGCCAGGAGGGCCATATATCTTCAGTCTGCAAAAGTCCAAAGAAGGATGCGGGTGAGCAGTAGGCTCATATTATGCAGGATGTCTTGATCCTTGCTATGGATAGTGACTCAGATTCTTGGGTCATCGATTCAGGAGCCTCTTTCCACGCCACTGCTAATAGGAAGCTATTTCAGAATTATGTAGCAGTGGACTTTAGAAAAGTGTATTTGGGGAATAACGAGCCCTGTAATATTGTTGGAAAGGGTGAAGTGCAGATTCAGATGAAGGGCTCTAAGTGGACCTTGAAGAACGTGAGACACGTGCCGAAGCTGAAGAGGAATCTTGTTTCGGTGGGACAACTTGGAGCAGAAGGCTATGTTTCGACATTCATAGGGGATTTATGGAGAATCTCTAACGGTACGATGATAGTTGCTCGAGGCAACAAGCTAGGAACTTTCTACCTTACCTTACATGCGAGTGACACCCTCGTAATTACAGCTGGCAAATAGAGTACAGATCTGTGGCACAACAGGCTAGGGCACATGAGCGAAAAAAGGGATGAAGATTTTACATTCACAAGGAAAGCTAACTGGGATCGATGCCGTGAAAGTCGGGATTTGTGAAGACTGCATCTTTGGGAAGCAGAAGAGGGTTAGTTTTCAGAAGGATGGAAGGCCACCTAAGGCTCAGAAGCTAGAGTTGATTCATACAGATGTATGGGCTCCAGCCAGTGTGCCTTCTTTTGGCGGTTCAAGATATTATGTCACCTTTATCGACGATCACTCGAGGAAGGTATGGATCTACTTCATGAATCACAAGTCAGATGTGTTTGGAATCTTCAAGAAGTGGAAGGTCATGGTGAAAAACGAGACAGATCTGAAGGTGAAGTGTCTGAGATCAGGCAATGATGGGGAATACGAGCTGGAGGAATTCAAGAGGTTCTGTACTACGAAGGGTATTCGCTTAGAGAGGACTACTCTAGGGACGCCGCAGCAGAACGACATTGCAGAGAAGATGAACAGGACCTTGACAGAGCATGTCAGGAGCATACGATTATATGCAGGTCTGTCTAAGACATTTTAGACGGATGCGGTGCATACGATAGCTTACCTTATTAATCACGGGCCATCAGTTCCATTAGATTTTAGGATTCCAGAGGAGGTTTAGAGTAGCAAGAAGATAAATCTCCCACACTTACAGGTATTTGGTTATGTGGCTTATGTTCATATAAGTGACCATGTCGGGGACAAGCTAGAAGCTACGTCACAGAAGTACACATTCATTGGATACGACATTGATGAGTTCGGGTATCGTCTTTGGGATGAGAAGAACAGGAAGATCATCAGAAGCAGTGACGTGATATTCAATGAGGAGGTGATGTACAAGAACATGAAAGATGCCAAGGATAGCCAAAGCAGTGGGCGCAGCATTTCAGATACAGATGGATCTGAGTACATGGATATATAGAAACTTCCAAATAGGGGCGATGATGTTTGTTCTGATCAGAGAATGGAGGAGGATCCAGGTGCAAAAGAAACTACCCAGGGCATAGAGCTTAGGAGGTCATCCAGGGTACTCAAACCAAATCCTAAATATCTTTCATCTCTTGACTATTTATTATTGACAGATAGTGGTGAGTCGGAGTGATATGAAGAAGCAATGCAAGTGAGTGAATCTCAGCAATGGGAGCATGCGATGCAAGAGGAGATGGATTCTTTACTCACTAATGAGACACGGGAGTTAGCCCAGCTACCTGTACAGAAGAATGCCTTACATAACAAATAGGTCTACCGGGTCAAGCAAGAGAGTGATGGAAGCAAGAGATTCAATGCCATATTAGTAGTGAAGGGGTTTCAATAGCGGGAAGGAGTGGACTATACGGAGATATTTTTTCCTGTTGTGAAACTCACAACCATCAGAGTAGTGTTGAGTTTGGTGGCTGCAGAAGACCTCTTTCTTGAGCAGTTAGATGTGAAGACTGCCTTTCTTTATGGTGACTTGGATGAAAAAATCTACATGAAACAACCTGTTAGCTTCATTGAAGAAGAAAAGGAAGAGATGATGTGCAAGCTCAAGAAGAGCTTGTATGGTTTGAAACAGACTCCGAGATAGTGGTATAAGAAGTTTGATAACTTCATGCAGAACAATGGCTATAGAAGATGCAATTCGGATCATTGCTGTTATTTTAAAAGGTTCGAGTCCAGCTTTATTATTTTGTTATTGTATGTTGATGACATGTTGGTAGCAGGACCGTGTTTGGAGGAGATAAACAGTTTGAAGAAGCAGCTAGCAAAGGAATTTGCAATGGAGGATCTGG